GGGGGGGTAATGGAAGGTAGGCAATGCTAAAAGGGGAGGAGGGACCCCCGTGTAGTGGCTAAGAGGGCGGAGCTTGGAAGTAAATAAGGGGTGAAGGCGTGGCTAAGGGTGAGGATAGGGTTAGAGGAGGGGCAGGGCTAAAGAGGGGCTGGGGACAAAACTAAGGTAAGATTAGAGCCAGAGTGGGACGATGCCCAGGAAGGTAAGCACCAGGAATGGGGTGATTTTAAAAGACAGGTTGTCAGGAAATGGGGGCAGAACTATGGCCCTGTGTCCCTGACAGGATCTCACCTTGAAGACCCAGCTAGAGGCAGTAAATGGAAAGAAAATGCCTGCCCTGGAGGTGTTCGCCCATGCCCTGCGATTCTTCAAGGAGCATGCTCTTCAGGTGTGCTGTGGCCCCATCCCTGCAAGGTGGTCAAGGGACCCCCAGGCCCATCCTTTCCCCTTAACCCATCCCTTGCCTATCAGATGGGTAGCCACTGTCATCTTCTCCCCTGCCTTCTTGTCTGGCAGAACCTGCATCAACCATACAGATATTGGTGGAGGGAGAATGTTAGGGATTTTTCCAACTCTGCTGGGAAGCTCTTCCTGAGGCTTGATTAGTTCTTCCAGCTCCCATAGAGGGCTGAAGACAGCCCCCTAACTCAAGTCAGCTGTTCACCTCATTCCCCCCTCCTGCTCCAGGAGCTGAGAGAGCAGTGCCCATCACTGCCAGAGAAGGACACTGTGCGCTGGGTGTTGACGGTGCCCGCCATCTGGAAACAACCAGCCAAGCAATTCATGCGGGAGGCTGCCTACCTGGTGAGGACATGCAGGCAGAGCAGTGGATGTTGCTCGGGAGGGCCCCAGGGATGGCCCCATACATACCCTCATTCACCCCACCACCCTTGGGACCAGAGATTCATTGTGTGAAGACCTCCATCCTTTACCTGCGGGTCATTTTGTTGCCACTGGAGGGAGGGAGCACTGTAGGGAAAGAGGGCTGAGGCACATCCCACACAGCTTAGCCTGTGTCGTGCCAGGTTTCCTAAAAGCAGAGCCCAGAATGGGGAATCGTGTGCATTGGTCTACTGAAGAAAGGCTCTCAGGAGAAAGGGGGTAAGGGAAGCAGGACAAGAAAAAGAAAGAGCTGAGCAGGGATGTGGTCTCAGCTGGAGTCTGGCCTCAGCCTGATCCCATGGAGAGCTCTGGAGGGAGAACTGTACCCCAGCGTTGGCCACAGCAACGGGGCCAGGTTTTTGTGCATCCATACCCGTGTGTCACTGGTTACTGGGGAGAGGGGGGATCCTCTCTTATCTGGTTCCCATTGAGCTGAGGGCAGCTCTCCAGAGAGAGCGGCAGCTGTGAGCCAACAGCAGCCAACACTCCCAGTAGCTGGGCAGGGTACTGAGTACATCTACTTCAGCCAGCATCAGTATTTTCAAGAACACCACCACCACCATGGCCCCACTGTAAGTTTTTGAGCACAGGAAACAGGACTATGAAACCATGAAGGGAGGTGATGTGGGCCAATATTTGCTGGTTTTCCTACCATAAGAGGTACCCAAAAGTCTGGAGAAAGGATAGGTGCAGCTCAGGCACCCCCTCTCTAGTAGAAATGGGGGTAGAAAAGGGAACACAGCCTTCCAGAGCAAGACTCTACTTGGTCCTGACCCTGAGGCCTTAGGAGACACATTAGAACCTACAAAAGGGATCTCAGAGCTGCATGTAGACCCCTTGGAGGATACCAAGGCCCCCAACCTACACACACACCCACGGGTCAGGCATGCCCCAGGTGCCTGTGTTGTCACTGGAAGAAGCTAACCCTAAACCTAGTGGGCATCCCGCTGCAAAGACCAGAATGAAAGCAAGGCTGTGCTCAGCCAGAACAAATACCCCCCCAGCCACAGTGCCCCACCCCCTGCCAGTTTACCCATCCTGCTTCCTCCCACACTGTTCCCTGGCTGCCAGCTCAGGAAGGGCTGGCCCTGGGCAGGAAGCCTCAATACCTACCCCTCCCCATCCCCCACCTGATCAGAATCCAGGGAATCCCACAAAACCCTAAAAGACTTTCACAGGGATTCCCCCGTCCTGATGCAGGAAGTAACGGCTCCCAAGTGTTTTTTCCCCCTCAACTGGCTTGTCTTGGTGCCTGGAATTTCACTCGTTAGAGTTTCCTTCCTCCTACATTAGATTCCCCAAGAACAAAGTTCTCCTGGGAGTGCGGAGGCCTATGGCCACTGTCTGACACCAGCTTGATGGAGGAGGAGGGTTCAGTGAGCCAGAGGGGGCCCTTATCATCTCCTTTGATTGATGGTCTGCCCATTGCTCACCACCACCCCTCCACACACACACATGCTATGCTATAGTCTCCATTAACACCCTCCGCCAGTGCCCAGCTGCCCAGCCAGCCCTGCTCCTGTAAAGGGGACCTTGTTGCAGCCCAGGCCAGATTGGGCAGCTCAGAGGGGCAGATCCCATGTGCTCTAGGTTTTTACTCTGTCTAGAGTCTCTTCCTGCTGGGCAGTCCTATGATGTTCTTGGCTGTGGCCAAGCTCATTCACAGGGTGACTGTGAGGCAGCTCCAAATCCGTGCAGCATGGATGGGGTGTGATGAGGAGGAGGTGGGAGTCCCACTGGCCCTAGTTGCCTGCCTCGGGTGCCATATTAGATATGACAGCCCATGGAGCTCCTGGCCCTGCCCACAACCCATCCCCAGGCCGGCCTGGTGTCCAGAGAGAATGCAGAGCAACTACTCATCGCCCTGGAGCCTGAGGCTGCCTCTGTCTACTGTCGCAAGCTGCGTCTGCACCAGCTCCTAGACCTGAGCAGCCGGGCCCCAGGCAGTGGGCGCCTGGGTGAGCGCCGCTCAATCGACTCCAGCTTCCGACAAGGTGAGCCACCTCCAGGGTCACTGAGACCAGAGGCTCAACTATGTTCAGCATGAAGGAGAGGGCCCCCTACTGTGGAGAAGGGCAATCTGAGAGGGCAGAAATGTCCTACCTGGAATTCAATCTGAATGAGGAGGCCCAGCTCTGACCTGGAGGAGCCAAATCTGAAGGCAGAGGTTTCTCCTAGCCCTGGGGGAGCTCTGTCTGAGGAGGGTAGGACTCAGCCTAGCCCTGAGTGTGGGGTTAGGATTAGACCTAGGGTTAGGGTTAGGTTGAGGGTTCGGGTTAGGGAGATGGTTAGGGTGAGGATTAGACCTAGGGTTAGGGTTATGTTGAGGGTTCGGGTTAGGATTAGACGTAGGGTTAGGGTTATGTTCAGGGTTCAGGTTAGGGAGATGGTTAGGGTTAGGATTGGACCTAGGCTTAGGGTTAGTTTTAGGGTTATAGTTAGGGAAATGGTTAGGGTTAGGATTTCACCTAGAGTTAGGGTTAGGGAGATGGTTAGGGTTAGGATTAGACCTAGGGTTAGGGTTAGGTTGAGGGTTACGGTTAGGGAGATGATTATGGTTAGGATTAGACCTAGGGTTAGGGTTAGGTTGAGGGGTACAGTTAGGGAGATCATTATGGTTAGGATTTGACCTAGGGTTAGGGTTAGGTTGAGGGGTACAGTTCGGGAGATCATTATGGTTAGGATTTGACCTAGGGTTAGGGTTAGGGAGATAGTTAGGGTTAGAATTAGACCTAGGGTTAGGGTTAGGTTGGTAGTTAGGGTTAGGGAGATGGTTAGGGGTAGGATTAGACCTAGGGTTAGGGTTAGGGAGAGGATCAGGGTTAGGGAGATGGTTAGGGTTAGGATTCGACCTAGGGTTAGAGTTAGGTTGAGGGTTAGGATTAGGAAGATGGTTATGGTTAGGATTCGACCTAGGGTTAGGGTTAGGTTGAGGGTTAGGATTAGGAAGATGGTTATGGTTAGGATTCGACCTAGGGTTAGGGTTAGGTTGAGGGTTAGGGTTTGGGAGATGGTGAGGGGTAGGATTACACCTAGGGTTAGGGTTAGGTTGAGGGTTAGGGTTAGGGAGATGTTTAGGGGTAGGATTAGACCTAGGGTTAGGGTTATGTTGAGGGTTAGGGTTAGGGAGATGGTTAGGGGTAGGATTAGACCTAGGGTTAGGGTTAGGGAGAGGATCAGGGTTAGGGAGATGGTTAGGGTTAGGATTCGACCTAGGGTTAGGGTTAGGTTGAGGGTTAGGATTAGGAAGATGGTTATGGTTAGGATTCGACCTAGGGTTAGGGTTAGGTTGAGGGTTAGGGTTTGGGAGATGGTGAGGGGTAGGATTACACCTAGGGTTAGGGTTAGGTTGAGGGTTAGGGTTAGGGAGATGTTTAGGGGTAGGATTAGACCTAGGGTTAGGGTTATGTTGAGGGTTAGGGTTTGGGAGATGGTTAGGGTTAGGATTAGACCTAGGGTTAGGGTTATGTTGAGGGTTAGGGTTTGGGAGATGGTTAGGGTGAGGATTAGACATAGGGTTAGGGTTAGGTTGAGGATTATAGTTAGGGAGATGATTATGGTTAGGATTTGACCTAGGGTTAGGGTTAGGGTTAGGGAGATGGTTAGGGTTAGAATTAGACGTAGGGTTAGGCTTAGGGAGAGGATCAGGGTTAGGGAGATGATTAGGGTTAGGATTAGACCTAGGGTTAGGGTTAGATTGAGGGTTCGGGTTAGGGAGAGGGTTATGGTTAGGATTAGACCTAGGGTTAGTGTTATGTTGAGGGTTAGGGTTAGGGAGATGGTTAGGGTTAGGATTAGACCTAGGGTTAGGGTTATGTTGAGGGTTAGGGTTAGGGAAATGGTTACGGTTAGGATTAGACTGAGGTTTAGGGTTATGTTGAAGGTTAGGGTTAGGGAGATGGTTAGGGTTAGGATTAGCCCTAGGGTTAGGGTTATGTTGAGGTTAGGGTTAGGGAGATGGTTAGGGTTAGGATTAGCCCTAAGGTTAGGGTTATGTTGAGGGTTAGGGTTTAGGAGATGGTTAGGGTTAGGATTAGACCTAGGGTTAGGGTTATGTTGAGGGTTAGGGTTAAGGAGATGATTAGGGTTCGGATTAGACTAGGGTTAGGGTTAGGTTGAGGGTTACGATTAGGAAGATGGTTAGGGGTAGGATTCGACCTAGGGTTAGGTTGAGGGTTAGGGTTAGGTAGATGGTTAGAGTTCGGATTAGAACTAGGGTTAGAGTTAGGTTGAGGGTTAGGATTAGGAAGATGGTTAGGGGTAGGATTCGACCTAGGGTTAGGGTTAGGGTTAGGGTTAGGATTATACCTAGAGTTAGGGTTATGTTGATGGTTAGGGTTAGGGAGATGTTTTGGGTTAGGATTCGATCTAAGGTTAGGATTAGACGGAGGGTTTGGGTTAGTTTGGCGGTTAAGATTAGGGGGGTTAGGGAGATGATTAGGGGTAGGATTAGACCTAGGGTTAGGGTTATGTTGAAGGTTCGGGTTAGAGAGATGGTTAGGGTTAGGATTAGACCTAGCGGCGATAGCCTACCCTGGTACGGGTACTTGGGTCCTGACAAAGGATGAAGTCAGCCGCTAATCTGAGCCAAAGGGGAGGTCTTTGGGAGCTTTCCCCTAAACAACCACTGAATCCTCTTCTCCCCTCCTGCCACATCAGCTATTCCTCCCCCCCACCCCCCCA